TTATTTTTCAGAGTTCAACTACTTGTATAGATCAAATAGCTTAATTGAATTAGTACTTAAATTTCGGTGCATACCGAACAACGTTTTAGATTAAAAAAATTAGCATTCAGCTTTTCATACTGAATTTTCAATTTTTAGTTTTCAGTTTTCAATTTTATCAAACAATACCTTACTAAATTGACAAAAATAGATCTTATTTTTATAATTTTTAACCAGTTAACAGACAATTTTAATTTGTTCATTGCTAACATTCGACAAGAACAAAGTACTTCCTTATGCTAGGGGTAGTTATATGCAACCGATCAAAACCGAAGTCGAGAAAGTACAATTAAACAGAAAAATATAATCATTTTGTTTTGTGATCGTGTTGTCAAAATATATACATCTGTTTTTATTAGTCTTGGATTAAAGTCGTAGCTTTTTGCAGACGTAAGGATGTCTTATTAGGTAGATATATATTCCTAAGTTTGTTGTTGAATTAATCCTACCTTTGCATCATTTGGGTAGTTGAGATAAAAGTAACATACGACCAACTAATTTGTTTTGGAATCGTATAATCTATACAAGTACCATTAGCTGCCTCTCATCAACATTCACATCATATATCATATATGCGATTGGTCTTTTCTTTTTTTTTTTCTTTCCCAAACTATAATTCTGTATTTGATTCATAAATTAGATAGAGATTTAAAAAAAGAAAAAATATATATAAATAAAATATGAATAAAATATAATTATATTTCATATTAATTTTATTTTTATTTTTATTTTTTAAAAAATTTGTACTCAAATCAATTAACCAAACACAACCTAAAGAGGTGTGTAAGCTTTTACGTAAACTCATGTCATGTCCGCCTCTACTAACGGTTCTTGTATTCTTTTGCTTGTGAAAAAGCAGAAAAGTTATATATGGAAAAGAGATTAATCATTAAAAGTAAGTGTTGAGCCTTTTTTTTTTTTTTTTGGGCGTTAATTTTTTTTTGGGTAGTAAAAGATTGTGATATGATATTCTGTAATGTTTAGATTTACTTTGATTAGAGACGGAAAATTTAACTTGAAATTATGAATTTATCTAGTTACAACTATTTAAAACTTGTTAAATCTATCCAAATTCATAAACGAATTTAAATGAGTTGTATTTTGTAAATTCGATAAAAAAATTAAACCAATTAAATATGGATACTCGTTTAAATTAGTACCATCTCTTTTACTATTACGTGACCACTATTGCCACTGCTACACTATACTCACCACTCTACCAACACGATCACCATTACCACCATGGCTATCAATTGGAAAAAAGAAACTCAAACATGGTGTAAATTCAAACTTAATGGTGTAAAAAATTGAGATCACAAATCTTTTTGTAAAATGATATTCAAAATATTTTTTTCAGAGTATCGAGGATCACACATGGATTGTAAGCACTTGGGAGATACCACCATGAAAAGGTACATATGAAAGCAGAATCCAAGTATATACTTTGGGAGAGATGTGATTTGGTTGGTATAATGTAAATAAATAATCCATTTTATCTCAGAACTCAAAACTGAAAAGAAAAAAATAAAAATGTAACAAGTGGGAGGTTAGATTAGGTTGGGAACAAGATTTCATCCTAAGATTTGCATGCCAAAACTACTATTACTAAATCCAATGTCTAAGATTACAAAATATAAAGCATACATTTATATAGTATGATTAAATATCAAGCATAGTTGTTTTTACTTGTCACATGATGTACACGAGATTTTACGTTACACTCCATTTGATTGATTTATTTTATTTTATTTTATTTATATGTAACCAATAAAAAATGAGTTTATGTAGGAAAAAATAATTTTCAATTTTTGACGATAAAAAATTGTTTTCTAAGCCTATGTGACATAGCAAAAGTAGTAATAACATCACAATACCCCAATCATTGTTGTAGCCACCATCACTTCCACCCTATCACCACCATTATGTATCTCCACTATCTGCAAAACACCGTCACCCCTTACCACTACCATTGTTACCATGACCACCGTCACACTTTACCACTCCTCCTCCACCACCACCACCACAATTCACATCATGACTACTATACTAGCACCATCAATTTTAGTGTTGCAATCAAATATATATATATTGCAAAATTTCATACACATTTTTCAAAAATTGATTTGTGCAAAAAAAACTTTTTATAGAGAATCAAAACAGGGTTAGGACTGACTCTAAGTTTTTTGAAATTCTAAATAGAGCTCTCTATATTTAATTACGAACAAAAAAATTGTCAATAAAATCATAAATACTCATACTCACAATTTTTATCGATAAATTATATTGACTACTATTAAGATTTGAAAGAAATATAATCATAATTATACTAATCTCCTGTTTAGTAAAACTAAAGCAAACCAAACTAGTTTCCATCTATTCACCCAAAAAAACTAGTTTCCATCCAATCTTGAACTCGTGTTTAATTTAATCAATGTGAACATATAGAACATGATCTACCCCCTCTGACAACAGAGTCCCCTGCGTAGCAAGAATTCATGAATATCTAAAGCTATATCAAATCAACCAACCCATCTTGATGAAGACTCATTCCTGAACTGAACCAGTTGACCACGTTACTGGTTCGTCATCTATGAGAGAGAGAGAGAGAGAGAGAGAGAGAGGGGTTGATGAGTTGTTGTTGTACACATACCCACCGTCGGTTTAGTCTTAGCTTTCAAACAATGCCATCATGTCTTTGTTGGCATCTAGATAGAGCACCTGATGGCTGGCTGATACATGACATGATAGCCATTTCTCAACCATTTTTTCACTTGGGTTGAGTTGAGTTGGATTGGGCAAGCATATACTTCTAATCTCTAAGGTTTAATCATGAAAAAAATAATAATAAAAAAAAAAATAACAACATAAACATACTTGGAAACGTGACAAAAATATTCTCTCTTGTCATCCATGTTTGTCTAATCAAATCCAAACCTCATCTACTTTTTTTCTTTTATCTATACTTTTAACTTCTTAACTGCTGTCTATGCATTTGTTCTTCATAAACACACTTTTTGTACCTTGTGTACGCTTTTGGCAACGATTAATTATTATTATTTTTTAATATTTAGTGAAGTTTTTTATTAGGAGAAATTGCAATTTAGTAAAAGTTAAAATAAAAATTCAAATCAGTTGTAACGTTCAAAAACTTTAATAATTAAAGTTATAAATTTCTCCATGAATTTGTAAATATTTTGTGAAAATCTCATTGATTTACAATTTTCCCTTTTTCTTATGTGTGCTAATTTTTTATTTTTTTATTTTTTTATTTTTTATTTTTGTTTTTAGATCCTTCTAATCCAAAAAAATCTAAAAAATAAGAACTTTCTAAAAGAATTAGACATAATTTTTTTTTGGGGGGGTATTTACTTTTCAGTTCGGTAAAAATCAAATAAGATCTAAAAGTAAAAATTTTTAATTTTTTTTTATAAAAAAAAACGGCTAAAAAAAAATCTATAGAAAAACTAATAAAAATGCAATTGTCAAATTCAACCTATTGGGTTTATATGCACATAATTAAATTACCAAAACAAAATAAAAATAAACAGTGTATATATTTGCATGAAGGGGCCAATCTAATAAGAATATATCTCTGGTGGACCCTATATTTCTTGCTACTATGTAGATTTTTTTTTACTTATTTTAGTTTGGTGTATATAGACCAACTCCTTTTAGCAAGAATTTTTTCTTCTTTGAACTGTACTCCTTTTAGCAAGATTAGATTTGTAATTTTGGTCAGAGCATGAAAGGACCATGAAAATAGGAAGCAGTCATACACTTTTTTTATTTATGTTATCTCTACATACATAGGAAAAAGGGCAGATCCTAATCATTCCTAAACTTTTGGGTACTGCAATGTGGAAAAGAGTTCTAAAAAGTACAGTCACTTTGATAAATTTCTAAAAAAATTGGACCATTCCAAGGTTTTCAATTGATGTTGGGATACTTTTCAAAGGGTGTTTCGTATACATTCATATTCACATGGTACCCCCCCTCTCTCTTAAAAAAAGAAGAAGTAAAGTTAACTAGATTTTCAAATATAGGGTCCACTATTTTCAAAAACAGATTTTCAAATAGGATCCACTCTACCAGCATGAATGTAAGCAATTGAACCATTTTATGTAAAAAATTTCTGAATCTATAGCATTACTCTAAGGACAACTTCTAGAATCAATTCATAACTCTTCTTGTGGGTAGCGTGGATTATGTTGGGGAGTGTTGGAGTAAAGGTATTTTAGTATTTCTTGCACTTGTAAGCTATATGTAAGCTATATGTAATCAGGGGTTATAGTTGTTTTTATATCTTATTTTTAACTCTTTCAGATCATAGTAAAACTGCAATAATTGTAGATGTAATCCTAACTTTAAAATAAATTACCTAAATCTTGATTAGGTGTTGTGTGTGTGAGATTTATAATTTTTGTTTATTATTTCTTGTCTATTTTTCATGTCGCAATTCTTAACATTCTATTTTATTTTGGTTGATTTTTAAGCAAGCAAATTTTAAATTTGATTAGTTCAAAGTAAACAAAGCCAAATTCTATTCATTTTTGTTAAATTTAGCAACATAATATGCGACAAAATTAATTAATTCTAGATTAGTAAAAGGCATGTGGGAACTTAAACGAGATCATTATTAGCTAGCTCTTATTTTCAACCAAACCATGTTGTCTTATTGACGCACTATTTGAACTAGAGGGGTTAAGAAACTTAATAACTTAAGTTCCAAAACTACGTTGGTCCATGGAAAAAAACAAAAACAAAAACAAAAACAATATAAAAAAAAACTACTTTATGTAACATTTAAGAAAACATGGGGGTGTGAAAAATCCTTAAAACATATTCTAGAGAAATCTTGTTTTTCAAGAATTGATCCCCCAATTTCACCTAACAAAGGAAAAACGACATGGCATCAGTAATGTATTGACCCTATCACCTATATAATAAGGTTGCGTTGGCCAGTCATACTTGAGTGGTACAAGCAAGAAAGAAATAAGAGCTAGAAAAGAAAAGAAAATCTTATTGGAGAGACAAAGAGAGAGATGGAAACTTGGATTCGAGTCTTGATTCTTGCTGCATTCTTGTTTCCAGCAGTGGTCGAATGCAGGGTTCGTCACTACAAGTTCAATGTAAGTACACATCATTCATCAATTTATTTATTTTTTAAACATATTCAAGCTGAGTCAAAAACATATATATCTATGACTATGGAGATCGAGTCCTGCATGCAGTCTTGGCAACTCATCCGCGATGCTTTTGGCATGGCATTGCCTCATCTGAAATAATTTTTCAAAGTGCATGCATGGAGATATATTGATGCTTCTTCATAATAAAAATGACGATGATGATAAAAATGTGTTAACTTGTCGACTGTTTTATAGTCCCACATCATATTCTTTTCTTTTCTTTTCTTTTTTTTTTTTTTGAGCATATTCAGGCCTAAAAGTTAGACTGACTTTCTAAACCTAGTGATGTGTCAAAAAGATAATTAGTTGATAATTAAATATTTTCTAATTATCAATCAATTATCTTCTTGACACATCACTAGTTTTAAAACATAAATCTAAAAAGTAAAATTTTATATCATTTTTTTTTTTGATAATTCATTATTTGTCCATTGTACCGACTTTTCTATAGTTTAAACACCATATATGTTTTATTGCATTCTAAATCATCTTTTGTTCTTCATCATGTTGTGGAGAGTAAATGAACTAGAATATAATTAGAAATTGAATTAGGATGGATTTATTTAGTGGATCAATAATGGGTAGTATGTTACAAAGGACAAATTATGAAAAATGTTAATCTTATAAGAAATTTATACAATGGTACACGGAGATGACATCCTTGTAATTAAAAGTCATAGATTTTCTTTTGAAAAATGATAAATCCTTTTAAGTACAATTACATCATTCTATATTTAATTTTTGTGCGTATATATTTGATTATTTCTATATCATTACTCATAATAATGTTTCAAAAGCACCATACATCAATGTATCAATGAAGACTGATGCTATATATTAAAAGAACAACACTGAGGTGAGATAAGTGAAAGGAGATTTAAAGGAGTGATTTTTGTATATGGATAGAGTATATTCACATGGTACCTTCTACTATTATGATTGGTGAAAGGTAGTAAAATATGAGCCATATATATATATATTTCTGATTGATGGAAAGATAGTGCTATTTGATACCCTATTAATATACAAAGCTTAGGCCTCATGTTTTATGCATAACAATTATTTTGTCCCTGGAATTTTCTTCCCACTTCAGTGATGTCACAAAATTTATATTGTCAATGGTGACTCTAATCCTAATAATGTTTTGTACCTTGGGTTTTAAACCATTGTTGATGCAATGATCACAATATTATATGCTCAGAAATTTTATTAAAACATTTATTTAGAATAGTAAAGTGTGATTGGGTTTATAAGATAATATTATATACTATATATATAGAATTTGTGCATAAAAATATATTAAGAAAATTCACTCTTATTAAAATTCATTCTAAATGTGAGTCTCACAATACATGAGTTGAATCGGGACTATACATTACATTTTTGGATATTTTCCTGTGTATATATTCTGTGTACATATTTTTACTGTAAAATTTCTGAGTATGTAGTATTGTTTTGTTCTTTTCTTTTGGGTGACATTTACATTTATAAATCTAGATACCCCAAAAAAAATATCAATGATTTTATTTTTAAAAAAAATATGATTCAGATTCAACTCTTATATAATAATATCCACATTAAAATGAATCAATACCATACATTATTTTTCAATTTTTTTTTAAAAAAAATATTTTCATGGATACCTGCGATTCAAGATAAATTACTACAAACAATCCATATTAGTTAAGTTGGTTGGTCTCCATAATGAATATTAGTTGAAGAAATCAAACAAAAAAATTGTTAAAAAAACATGGGAAGGTACACCCACAAATCATTTTCAGAGAGGATATGTAAAAAAAAAACTAACCTCTTCCATCTAACATCTACCCATTTTTGTATATTCCTAAGGCCATGATGATGATGTTGAATTTTTTACAACTTAATTAGCTGTGTGTTGATAACGTGCGCAGGTGGTAATGAGGAACACCACTAGGTTGTGCTCAACCAAGCCCATTGTCACAGTCAATGGCCAGTTTCCAGGGCCAACTGTGTATGCTAGAGAAGGTGATAATGTGCTCATCAAGGTGGTCAACCATGTCAAATACAATGTCTCTATCCATTGGTGAGACTTCAATTTACCAACTCATCCTCATGGTTTTGTTAACTTGCAAAATAATTAAGGGCAATTTGGTCATTTTATATCTATTTCACTGTTAGTTTAAAATTTTTGAAAAATGGAAATGATATATGTTTGGTAATTTTTACCATTGTAAAAAATATGACAATAAAATTTTAAAATTTGTGATAAGTATTACAAATAAAAAATTTCTATAAATGATTTGGTTGAGTTGTGAGTCTATAATTTTAAAATAAAAATCTCAATAAAAAAACTGTTAATATTAAAAAAATATTACTTCCATATCATTTTGTGAATGATTTTGTATGAAATTTTTTAAAACAATAACATTTTTTCTTTGTGTAAACGTTAAAAAAAGTATTTTCATTTGAAAAATTTTCATTGGTTCCCCTCTTGCAACCTCCCTCATCCAACAACCCATTCGTTCCCCTCTTGCAACCTCCCTCATCCAACAACCCATAAAACATTTTTTAACGAAAACTTGTGTGTACCAAATTTTTAGTTTTTGGAAAAAAAAATAAAAAAATAAATACATGTTTGTTATTTTCTTTGAACAAAAGACAACAACTCGGCAGCGTTATCAAACATCACATAATTATTAACACAAAAGGTTACACATTCATTCTTGTAAATTCTAATTAATCAATTCTATTATGTACATCTTATAATTGAGAAATTTTACTATTTTTTGTGTGTGGAAGGCATGGTATCCGACAACTCCAAACAGGTTGGGCTGATGGACCAGCATTCATCACACAGTGCCCGATCCAACAAGGTCAAACCTACACATACAACTTCACCATCACCGGGCAACGGGGCACACTTCTTTGGCATGCACACATCCTATGGCTAAGGGCAACTGTCTACGGAGGCCTAGTGATATTGCCTAAGCGTGGTGTGCCATATCCATTTCCCAAACCCCACAAGGAAGCAGTTGTCATATTAGGTGAGCTATCTCATTGTTAACTACGTATGACTCAAAATTTTCCAACAATTGGTTAGGAATACATTTTCAATCACTTCAATTGACAAAAAAAAATCACATTAACTCACTACAACATATAAGAGTTTTAGAAAAAAAATGTTTTGGTCTCTAAAAGTGAAAATTTTATTGCAAAAGAAATTTAGGGATCAATTTCTATTGTTATGAGGATAGTCGCTAAAAGGTCGTTCCGAAAAGTCAAAAATAAGGCATTTAGTGACAAAAATAAATAAACTTTCAGGGACAAAATAATTTGGTCTCAAAATGGTTTATTTTTTTAGACAAAAAATTTGGTCCCAAAAGGATAATAATTCATCACTAATGTCTAATTTTTGTTTCTAAAAATATAATGACAACACTTTTCGTAACAAAATTATTTGGTCCCTAAAAAATAATTTTATCCCAAAATTTTAGTCTCTAAAATCTTAATTTTTTGTAATAACTTGGATATGAAGTAGTTTTTTGGACTGTGAAAATTGTAGGTGAATGGTGGAAATCGGACACTGAAGCTGTGATCAATGAGGCGCTTAAATCGGGTTTGGCTCCAAATGTCTCGGATGCTCACACCATTAATGGACATCCAGGACCCGTATCTAATTGTCCGTCACAAGGTACTTGAAATTATCACTAAAATAATATTACAATGAAATTTTAAAAAATTTAAACAACATTAATAGTTGTTTTGTTTTTAAAATAATAAGATTAAGATTTGTCATATCGTTCTATATTAAGATTTTTTTGGATAATGTTTACCTTTTCAAATAAGAATAATAATATCATACAAACAAAATTTTCGTACACAATTTTTTAAAAAACAATAATAAAGAATCCATTACTTGAGCTGAAAGTTTAAAAAATATCAGTATAACATTATTTTGTATGAAAATTTTATTTTTATATTAATTTTTTCTTTTAAATGCTACAAATCCAAAATACCTAAAAAATAAAATGTGTTCAATATATTTAAAAGTATGGTGTAGCCCACATCTAAAGTAAATCTGATTCATACATTTTATTTTCTGAATAATTTTCTATAAATTATTTCGAAATCCATAATCTAATCAATATTGATATATATATAAACAAAAATTTATGAAATGGTGTGGAAAATTTATTAATCTATTGTTCAAAAAAATAATTCATTAAGTTGTTTTGTAATAGCAAAAATATGTAAGTGACACATTACTATTCTGATGAATGATTGTGTATGAAGGTGGCGGTGGATTTACGCTGAGCGTTCAAAGCGGAAAAACCTACATGCTCCGAGTCATCAATGCTGGACTCAATGAAGAACTCTTCTTCAAGATCGCTGGCCACCAACTCACCGTCGTAGAGGTCGACGCCACCTACGTAAAACCTTTCAAAATCGACACAATCGTGGTTGCCCCAGGCCAAACCACAAACGTCATCTTAACCGCTGACCGAAACGCTGGCAAGTATATCGTCGCCGCTTCCCCCTTCATGGATGCCCCGATCGCCGTCGACAACACCACTGCCACCGCCACCCTCCACTATTCCGGCACCCTCGCTAATTCCCCCACCACTTTCACCACCACACCTCCCAAAAACGCCACTCCAATTGCGAATAATTTCGTCAATTCTCTAAAAGCCCTCAATTCCAAGAAATACCCGGCCAATGTCCCTTTAACAATCGATCATTCCCTTTTCTTTACAGTCGGGCTCGGGATTAATCCATGCCCGACTTGTAAAGCTGGGAATGGAAGCAGAGTGGTAGCAAATATTAACAATGTTACTTTTGTTATGCCCAAGACCGCTCTGCTTCAGGCCCATTACTTTAAAATTAATGGGGTGTTCACTACTGACTTTCCGGGTAACCCGCCGGTGGCATTCAATTACACGGGCACTCCACCGGCGAGTTTGGCGACCAATAACGGGACGAAAGTGTACCCGCTTCAGTATAATGCCACGGTTCAACTTGTTTTGCAAGATACCGGTATCATTGCCGCGGAGAACCATCCGGTTCATCTACACGGGTTTAATTTCTTTGCGATTGGAAAGGGACTTGGAAATTATAACCCGAAGACAGATCCAAAAAAATTCAACCTTGTTGATCCGGTTGAGAGAAATACAATTGGAGTACCGGCTGGTGGATGGGTTGCTATTAGATTCCGAGCAGATAATCCAGGTAAACTAATCATGTACTTTTTATTTAATTATTCCACATCCATTTTTTCTGTCACTCTCTTGAGAATGTTTTTAGTTTACAAATTTTAATTTAGATTGGGGTTGTGAATTTGTAGGAGTTTGGTTCATGCATTGTCATTTGGAGGTGCACACATCATGGGGACTAAAGATGGCATTCTTGGTGGACAATGGCAAGGGCCCTAATGAGTCTATTTTGCCACCTCCCAAAGATCTCCCAAAATGTTAGTACAATCAAAGGAAAGAAGGATAGAAAGAAGAAACGAAAATACACAATGGAAGAACATGAAATGGAAGAAAACAGAGTTTTCAATAATTAAAATATATGGAAAAAAGTGAGAGTAGAGGTCGGATTGTTTATATTGAGCAAACAAAAAATTTGCTCAAGCATATTTCAATAATTTTCAGGGCATTTGATTGGTTTTGCAATTTTTACAAGAGTCAAATACATGTATGAAAGTCTTTATTTTGATTCTTATATATACAAGTGTTCCAAAGGTTCTTGGCAATTAAGGTTTGCATTGCATGGTTAATTAATTTCCCTATTTTGATAAGTATTGCTAACGGTACAAAATTAGAATACAGAAAGAGCACAAAAAATATATTATATGGTTAATATTTATCTTGAACATGATATTGGGTTACACTTAAAATAATATCTCAATTACACAATATATTTTCTATAGTTATATATATAAATCAATTATAATTTTATACACTTGACATTTCTCTGGTTTGATAGTTAGTTTAGAAATAGAATCATCTAGACTGGTGCGATTATAAATTCACGAAAATAGTTTAACAATTGTCATAAAGTTAACGATCACCAAGTTCAAACTTGAGAAGAAACAAACAATTACGGTAGATAATTTTATAATAGGAGAGAAACAAACACTATCACAAGATCAAACTCATTTTCACAAAAATTAAATTTGTAATCTCGTACTATAAAGTGGATCTCACCAAAAATCTTGATTACAATCTCTTATGTTTAGAGGAGTGTATAAGATTATCAAATAAGTCAACCTATTCAAGCTCTTCTCGGATTTGACTCGTTAGTAATTTGTTTGATATTGGCTGGTTAAATCTCCTAATCAAATTTAAACATAATTTAAAATTTATTATATTTTAAAATCAAATTTAAACCATCTATTACTCGTGCTCGACCAAAGTGGACTGGGTTGAACTCCACAATTGACAAACCCAAAGGAAAAAAAAAACCCAGCCCATATGTATATATAGTTTATTTCGCAGCCCAATTTATTCATCTTTTTCAAAAACCCTTTTTCAGAAAATTTTACAATATTATTTTTTGTGTTTTTTTTTTCACTGAATTTTTTTAATATTTTAAGCATTTTTTTTTTACTTTTTAGACATACCTAACATAAATATACCTAAAAAATAAAAAATTTGTGAAAAAAAACTTTTAAAAATTCACTAAATACCAAAAATACAAAAATATACGAGAATTTAGTACATTTTTTATATTTTTATGTATTTATTAATTTTTTTAAATATTTTTTTGACAAATTTTTTACTTTTTAGAAAAATATTTAAAAATATTGACTAAAAACAAAAACAAATGTGAAAATCAAAAAACTCAATTCTTAAAAAACTGAATCCAAAAAACTCAAAACAAACACACTGATTATATTTTAAAATCAAATTTAAACAATCTATTAGTCGTGCTCGACCAAAGTCGACTAGGTTGAACTCCACAATTGACAAACCCAAAGGGAAAAAAAACCCCGGCCCATATGTATATATAGTTTATTTCCCAGCCCAATCTCACTCAATACAAAAATATACGAGAATTTAGTACATTTTTTATATTTTTATGTATTTATTAATTTTTTTAAATATTTTTTTGACAAATTTTTTACTTTTTAAAAAAATATTTAAAAATATTGACTAAAAACAAAAAAAAATGTAAAAATCAAAAAACTCAATTCTTAAAAAACTGAATCCAAAAAACTCAAAACAAACACACTGATTATATTTTAAAATCAAATTTAAACAATCTATTAGTCGTGCTCGACCAAAGTCGACTAGGTTGAACTCCACAATTGACAAACCCAAAGGGAAAAAAAACCCCGGCCCATATGTATATATAGTTTATTTCCCAGCCCAATCTCACTTCATCTCTCTCTCTCTCTGTCTCTCTCCACTCTCTGTACCACACTCTACAATACGATTTCTCACAAGGTACGTCTCTCTCTCTCTCTCTCTTTCTCTCTCTCAAACCCTAACGCTGTTGCGAAGCTGGCCAATCATATTGATTCTGGTTTGTTGATCTGAAAATTCAATTATTTGTTTGTGTAGTGAATATTGGTATAACACTTGTTGTTGAGTTAGAAATTTGTAAAGATATCTACTTTACTTGCTGATTTGTTCTATTTTCTTCTTTCTTGTTTTTGATAATTTATGCTGACTTGAATTTGGCTTGTGGGTTGTTTTGATCTTGGGATTAAAACCCATGCTTGCCTAATTTGGTTATTCTTGATATTTGAAATGTGCTTATTTGTTTATTCATATGTATATTCATTGAGAGTCAATTAGCTATTTGGAACTCATTGTTGCATGAACCATCTCCAACCCTTTCACCAATTTTTTCATCTAATTTGATTCCAAATTTGAGTAAAAAGTGTGATTTGATATGAGCTAATCCAATCATTTCATCAATTTTTTTATCAAAATTTTTTTAAAATTTCTCTATTATCCCAAATTTCACTATTCATCAAAATTGATGAAAAAAATCATCTCCAATACTCCATCTTTTTGAAATTTTATCTTTTTAAAGATGAAGGATTAGAGCATCTCCAATGGTGTATCAAATTTTTCATCAAATTTGAGTAAAAATTTCATTTGATATCAAGTGCTCTAACAGAGGTTTTTTAAGCTTCATCAAAACACGGGTTGACTAGGCAGATATCCAGTCGGTCGACCAGCCAGTGCAAATTCTTTACAAATTTTTGCCTTGAGGTGGTCATCTACGGGGTTGACCGGAGGGTCGACCGCTCAGTATAATTTTTTCACAAATTTTTATCTTGAGGTGGTCATTTGGGGGACATTCGAGGGGGATATTCAGTGGTGAAAATCAAACGGTTATGAACAGTGATTTGATGAAAGGTATATTAGTCTTTATTTTGGTGAAAAAAAAAGTAAAATCGTAGATTTGATACCTATTTGATGAAACTTTTGGAGCAGGAAAATGAGTGATTTTTCATCAAATTCAAATTTGATGATAGATTTGAGTAACCATTGGAGATAGTCAAAAGGCACTTTTATTATGTGGGAAACAACATATTTATTCAATCTTTAACTCTCAATCTCAACTATGCCACATACGACAATTTCAAAATATGATATCTTGTATTATATAGTTAGATATTCAGCTTTTATGCCAGTGTATAGGACTAGATTTTGCAAAATGGATAGACAGGAGCTATCTTCAAGTATTGGGTTTTATGTTAGAATATTGCAAATCTTTGCTTCCTAGACTGGAATTTTTTTAGGATACCTTGTGTAATTGGAGAACAATGGTTTTGAGTTTTCTCATAGATTTGAAATGTAGGTATTTCAAAACCTAATGGTTGGAAATCACACCCAAGACCATACCCACATCTGGGATTTGGGCTGGTTAGGCTTGTCACATATTTTGATTCACAACAACACTATACGCTGCAAAACTTTTTGTGTGATGTATGAGGATTATATTGCCTGCAAAAGTCCACATATATGTGGGACAGAGTTGACACTTAGGTTGAGCGAGAATGTGAATGATATGAATTTATAACCTCTAGTTTAGAAACTTTGTTACTCAAAAAGTACTAATTCATTTCTTAATTCATTTAAGCTTAATAGTTTTCTTGAGATTTTGGATTGCGGTTTATTTAATGTTTGATTTGCTTGAATGATTTTGGGTAGGAATGGAATGTCATTGTCTTAAATTAGTGAATGGTGATTCCATTTGCACGTACGCTCCTTTCTTGTTTACCGAACCAAATGTGGTAATGAGTATTCCTATGGAATGACTATTTCTTTCCACCCTTCATTCCAATGAACCAAGCACTTTATTAGAGTTTCCAGAGTTTCAGCTTGATTTAGGGTTTTGGCATTCAATACACATAAGGGAGTTGTTTGAAACCACAACCAACAGAAGATTTCAAATGCATCTATATCATTGTTGTAAATTGAAAATGGCAATGTTTATTTTAGTGGGTTTGGTTTGTCTACTCTACTTAAAAATTTATGATAGTATTGTGAAGATAATTGGCATATGGTTAAGAGTAAATGAAGAGAAAGACATAGTGAGGTAAAGAGCACATCCATTGTATTTATTGTAGTGAAGTCCTTCGCTTGATGATTCCTTCCCAATGTTTTAAAAGGTTCTAGGTGCACCGAGGCGATAAGGTCTCCTATAGCCTAAGCACAAGGCATGAGGCTAGGCGAGGCGAGACAAGGCATGCGCCTCACCAAAGCGAAACGCAAGTAGTGGAAGAAAAGCAAAATTATAAAATAGGCAAACTTTTCAACATAACAAATATATATAGAATTTCGAAAATCATAACCATTTCCAATAATCTTTAAACATAATATTCAATCTTCTAAAAACTAGAAATATAATATTCAACAAAAGATATAAAGCATAACATTCAATCTTTTATCATTTCCTGCTCTCTTTTGACCACGTTTGGTTATTTTATATTGAAAAGTTTTGAATCCTTGTGGGTATGCTCACAAAAAAAGCACTTAATCAATAGTTAGAGTAGAAAAATAGGTAAAAACCCATGAAACCCACGCCTTGCGCCTCGAAAAAAAGCCATTGCCTCAGCTGCACCTTGCATATTGCGCCTCGCCTCAACCTGTTTGAAGCGCAAGGCGTGCGCCTAAGCGCGCCTTTTAAAACACTGCTCCCCACTAATTGCTAAGGCACTCTCTCTCTACCCAGACACTTGAATCCACCTTTACAAAGCTTTAATTTCTTCTTTTTGTTACATGTTTTTATATTTCCTTAAGAAATGCCAATTTATATTTTTCTTAATTAATGCAATAACAAGCAATCAATATTAGAAAACTATTGAAATTTTAAATTGTTTTGGGTGGTAGTACCTCACGAAGAGCAATATATTTTCTAAAAGAAAAAGGTAGCCAAACTTCCTCCATATGTGCTATTTTGAGTTTTCCTACCAAGTCCCAACATTTTTTCTTCTCTCTTTCTTTCTTTTACTTTTTCAAGCAACTCCATTATTATACCCTAATATTGGGAAAAAGAAGATTGCAGAGCCCAAAGATGTGAGTTTTCCTTTTATGCACTTGGTAAACTGCTATCCCTTTCCCATTGTTTCAGAACTTCCTCTACTACATTTGTTTCGAGCTGTTTAATTTTGAAAATGAAAAATATCATTAAATATGATATTGTCCTTTAATAGAAAAACTTAGTACTACTGGTATGTAAAGTTCTTATTTTCGTTTCACAAAAGTGCCAATGACATCACTTGGACAATTTTCCTCTTTCCGTAAATTATCGATTTATTTATTCGGTACTTGTATTCTAAAGCAACTAATTATCTCTTTGTGCAGAATAATTTAATAATTGGATTTGGAGATTGCTTCTCAAAAGACATTTTAGTTTGAGCAAATAATATTGGAGATGGAAAACAAAAGAAAGCGTGTTTTTAGCACAGCTGAGGATGGTAGGAGCCGGGATTGGTCTGATCTTCCTGCAGATCTTCTTCTGTTGATATTGAGACATCTTAATTTTTTGGATCATCTCTCGTTTTTTGGGGTGTGTAAAAGCTGGCGTTGGGCTTTAGAACAATGCACGCTGGAAAACCAGCTTCCTGCTCAGCCATATTGGGTCATCTCCAGAAAAATGAGCACCAGTACTGATATTATATGGCATTTTGGTGACTCCTCCACGAGACGTTCTTACACAATTAATGTCCCTGAATTGAGCCAGGCTAGGTGCCTTGTCTCCAAACATGGGTGGCTCTTGCTGTTTTCTTCAGAACCCATCTCTTCACTTTTCTTCTTTAACCCATTCTCTCGTGCACGAATTGATCTGCCTTGGACTAGTGAGTTCTCTAGATTGACCGATATACTCGATAAACACCCCCCAGTTTTCACTTTGTCTGCACCCCCTACATCTCTTGATTGTGTTTTGTTTGCCATTGCTTTTGTTAATGTGGATAGTTTCAGAATCAGTACCTGTCGCAGAGGGGAAACTACCTGGACCACCCATGATTGTCAATGTTGAATAACCAAATTCGTGCCAATTAAGAACATACAACGCTGATGCAAAGGTGTGGCAGCGTTTTAGAAGAAGCACAATTATGAAAATTCCCCTAACTCATACAGATGAAATTTACTCCTATATGGTACAACCCCCCGATAAAAAACCAATGATATGTGTATTATGGGAGCTGGAGGACGATACAGTGGCAATTTGGCTGTGCTGAACTCAAGAGCCCTCCCATTGGGTGCAGGTCGAAGCTACGTGTGATGAAATCTCCTGAATTACTGTATGGTGTGAATCCTGGCAAGAAAGCAACAGAGGTACCCGGGTGGTTATGCATGGATAGCTTCCGTGGTGGTTCATGGTGCATTTCATTTGATTCCTCTGAAGGTGATGATCATCAACCTGTGCTTTTCAGTTGGCATTTGCTTGATCAATTGTTTAGTTTAGTGATTTCCTATTTCCTTTAATGGTGGAGTTAATAGAACTTGTGTTTTTTTATACAAATGCAAGATGATCTCTCTCTCTCTCTCTCTCTCTCTCTCTCTCTCAAGCAAAAACTGTATTATTACCATAATCATTGAATTCCCAATACATCGCATGTGAACATAAATGAGATTTAAACTGTGTATATTGATGAAGATAGATTCTTGAACACAAATGTAATTTTCCAGAAGGGCCTTCTAGTATCACAAGTCAATTTCTACTTGAACTTGATATTTATCAAACACATTATTAAATTTCTTTTTCTTTCTTTCTTTCTTTCTTTTTTTGTTTTGTTTTTTTATTTTTTGTGGAGGTAATAAGTCATGAAAACAAGCAAATATTTATGTTTACTTTGGAATTATTTTAATTTTTTCTTTGTTTTTTGTCTTTATGTTTTTGAAAATAAATTTAATAGAAAATTTTTAAAAACCTATTTTTTTAAAGTTTCAAAATAAATCTTTACCGAAACAGTTTTTAAAAATAATTCACAAAACAACGGTCATGTGAGTGAACAAAACCAATTTTAATAATGATAGAGATGGGCATGTTAGTGGTTTTGGGCATCTTTCTTTTAGGTCTTTCACAATATTCTTAAGTTTTTTGGACTCATGACTAATCCGCCGAGAAAGTTGCCGGGCACAAATACGGGGTCCTCTCCCAAAGGGGTTGCTGCATCCACAAATACTCGAACTCGAAACTTTTGCTTAAGCGACCCAAGTCCCTTTCTACTTGGACCAACCCCCATTGGTGTTTTGGGCATCTTTCACGGTACACATCTGATGACTTTTCAAGATTTTGTTTAGTTTAATTTTCAAAATCTGTTTTTCAATAATTTTTGAAAATATTAATTTCACTAAATTAGAACTCATTTGTCAACTATACATTTTAATAAAAAAATTATTATAAATTATCACATCATTTTTTTTATTTTTTTGTACATATTTTTGTAAAAAATTAAAAAATTATTAAAATAATATATTTCTAAACGCCGCGTTAATATTTCTAAACCGCCGGTTTTTGATAAGAAAAATGGCAAACTCTAGTGACACTTTTATCAATCCGTCACCCGCCATATGGTTTCTATTTTTCTCTCAAACTGCACCGACCCGCACCGCGCACACCCTATCCACAAGGACACAGCACGGGGATGGTCCTGCCTGGATCGGAGTAAACTAATGGTGAAATTTTCAACAAAAATTTAAAATGGTTAGCAAAGGTGTAGTAGGTGGAGCAAGTGCAACACATGATGAGCGAGTGAAGCACTCAACCATATGAGCTTTCTCAAAGAAGCAAATAGGAATCTTTCTGTTTATGGAAAGTCCCACTTTATTGAAATACAAGTCACTTTCATTCCCAACACCACCCCCATCAATACTATTTATATATTTAGTCAGAGCTGGAGGCAATTAATTACATTTTTTTGAACGTGAGGCAAACCAAGTACTCTATGACTTCGACCCATAAATTAGATTGAATTTTGTTATTTATTATCATATTTATTTTATTATATTTTTTAGAATAAATTATACTGTTGAGATTTAAAAAATATAATAAATTTTATAATTTAGACATAATTATATTAAATTTTCTTGAGATTTTAATTCATATAGAATACTTGACACATTTTTATTAATAATTTGTCAGTCGTGAACGAAAAAAATAATATTGTCATATGTTTTAAATGAAAATATCTACTTTATGTTGTTTATTTTTGGGAGACTTATTTATAAATTCTTTTTCAGATATTTATGCTAGGCTAAGTCCTGTGTAATTTCTTATAGAGTTTCAAGTCCTATTTAGATAGTAATGTATTCCACAAAATCCTACATAAACGTAACGTGACGTGACACCTACATAAACATAACGTAACGTGACACCTATACGTAACGTGACACCTACATAAACGTAACATAACGTGTCACGTTGCGTTTCGCAAACTTAATGAGTTTTTATTTTTTAAAATTGAATGTGAAAATATTGCTGGTTTATATTGGTGTCACGTTACATTTTATATAAATATGATCTATGAATGTTGCCATAGATCATAGGTGTCACATTACGTTTATGTAGGTGTCACGTTACATTACGTTTATGTAGAAATGATCTATGGTAACGTTCAATTTCCTATATAGGAAATATAAGAAATTGAATGTTGCTATAGATCATAGGTGTCACATTATACACAGGTGTCACATTATGCATAAGTGTCACGTTACGTTACGTTTATATAGATATGATTTATGGTAACATTCAATTTCCTATATATGATTTTACTATTATTTATGATATAAACAACTAATATTTAGGGTAAATGTGTCAACGAACTTCTCACAAGACTTATAGGAACATAAGTTTTTTAGTATGACCATATGTAGCATAAGTCTCCCTAATAGGACTTATAAATAATTTTTCCTTTATTTTATGTTTCCACACTATCTGGATTAATTTTGGTTCATTTAATCTTATTTAAAAGGGAGATCAATGTAATTATGTCAAAAATATAAAATTTATTATATTTTTTTGAAACTCCAGTAAACGTCAGTGTAATTTACCATATTTTTAAGTATATCCATGTAATAAAATTTATATGTGTAGAATTCTTTGTGTTTGAAAAATAGTGAGACTAATCATGCTACATGAGTAATCATATAAGAAATGAAAAGTTTTGGTGAAATATTAACCAGTGAGTTTAGGAAATTTATTAGGGCTGAGCAAGGAATCCGTGAAATCCGTAATCCGATCCGATCCAGTCCAGTCCAATCCGATAGGTTTGGATTGGTTTTTTGAATCCGTGGTTCGGTTCCGGATTGAATAATTAAAAATCTGTAGTTCACGGATTGGTTCCGGATTGAATCCCACGGTTCCGGATTGGAACCGATCCGGACCGTATACAAATAGTCTATATTTTTATTATAACTTTATTACTTTTGTTTGTTAGTTTTAAGTTTTAATTTGCAATGGTCTAAATATTTATGGTGAAACCAGTTTTCTTATGGTTGTTTAAATTCTAGAGCAGTATGTCACTATTATAGAAAAACATGTTGTTATTGTGGAACTAATATAGCGCTATGTTTATGTTTTTATGAAATTAAAGTGTTATATATATTTTTTTGTTATTTAATTATGTGAATCCGTGGTCCTAAACCGATCCAATCCGTATTTAAATGGATTGGTTCGGATTGGTTCCATGATTTAAACGGATTGGATTGGTTCCAATTTTTTAGGAACCGTAAATAACGGATTGGTCCTAATTTTATCCCAATCCGGTCCAATCCGGACCATGCTCACCCCTAAAATTTATTAAGAAGTTTAAATGTTTGTAAATTATTATAAAAATGTGTACTATGAAAAATATACAACTATTTAAATTTTGCTGACTAATGTATTTATAACTCTTATCAAGAACCTCAAGGGCACCTTACATATAAAAAAAAAAAATATCAGGAAAAAAAAAAAACACTGAACTTCTAAACTAAACTTCTTAGCAAGACACTATCAGCAATAGGCTTAATTGCACCACATTATGAAGTTTGATTTTGTTTACCAATTTATACCTATTTCATAAATGAGTGACTAATAAAATAATAAAATCTATAATTATAATATAAAATATTTAAAAGCTCTAAAATAAGAGTTCTAAATGAATTTTAAGGGGTGAGACTCACCTATTGATGTGATATTTTAGTCTTTTTTTTTTTATTTCTTTCCTGTCACATTATTAAAATTCAATTAGAACTCAAAAATTAAAATTATATATCATTGCTCTTTCAAAATATTGGACCACCCTACAATTTTAATCAATGGAAAATAAATGTATTGTTCAACCTCCGTTTGGAAAGTGGGTTGACTTTTTGAATTTTTTGACTATTTTAACCTGGGCTAAAAAGTTTGGTTTGGGAAGAACTTTTTAGTTTTTTGACTTTTTTAACTTTTTTTTATGAGAGAAGAATGTAATGATTATGGGTGAGATGTGATATTTTATTTTTTGTAACTAAAATAATTTATTTTATTTTTTGTAACTAAAATAACTAAAAAAATCTCGTTTAACTCTTGCCCTCAACTAATTATGAACAGACTGAACAAAATACTTTTTCCATTATTGTAACTTGTGCTCATGCTCAGTTGTGTTAAAGGTTAAAAAACAACAATGAAGTGACAATGAAGGAAACAAAACGATGGGGAAACAAATAAATAAATAAATTAAAAACATATATATGAATCAATAATGATGCATGCTACAAATTTGGGAACACTAATAGATCATTAATGAGGTGGAAATTTAAAAAAAAAAAAAAATTTAAGATCAAAACATCACATCAGTCAGTGAGACCCACACTCTAAAGCTCTTTAGTGCTCTCAATTTAAAGTTTTCAAACATTTTTTATATGAATGCATATTATTCTCTTTTTAAAAAGAAGTTTTGTGGAAAAAGACTGAAAACAACCAACCACTTGAATTGATTACAAGTGGAGCCAACCACTATTCAGTATTTTAACATTATTTTCAACAAGTGAAAGCAACCTTTTCCATTTCTTTTCTCATTGAACATCACCAAAAATAAATATAAAAAAATGAAGAGAATTGAGTTGAGACAAAGAACATCAACTTCAATGGCCAATTACAACTCATATCTATGTATATATATATATATAAAAGTGGGTGTTTGGAAAGTAATTATTTTAATAAGTTATTTTAGTTTTTGACTATTTTGATAGGTTAAAATTTTTATATTTGAGAAGATGATTGAATTTTTTTATAGATGAAAGTGATGTTTATCAAAGAAAAAATAAAATAATTATGTGTTTGATGCGACATTTTATCTTATTAACTATTTTAATTTATTTTGTCTTTTTATAAATTTTAGCCCAAAAAAAGTTAGAATTCTTCTTGCCAAACACCCCCTCCTATGTATTCTCCCAAGACAACTCCATCACAAACCTGCATCATTTCTGAATGGCATTATGCTGTACTTTAATGACATCTCTCTACCTAATCCTCATGTGTAATCTGGGTTTTTGTTAATGACAACATTAAAACATACCCTTAACTTTTTCCTTTTTATATTGCATTGGGTAATGAAGCAATTCTTTTGAAGAATTACAACGCAA